ATTCCTTGCTTCTGTGAACTACGAATTCAGAGATGAGAGATGTTTCTGGGAAAAGGGCTGGAGAGCCTGCTGCAGGGCAAGGATGTAAAAAGCATCTTACCAATAGGCTACCAAAAGCATGTTTAAATGGCCTTAGTGTTGGGTCCCTTATTCCATGGTGGGCCATTCCACTAATATTTTACCCCCAGCCTGCCCCCTGGTTATGTGTGTAAAGAACCTGCTTTCTCAGAACCATCACCCTGGAGGGGCAGCTAGGTGGCTCAGTTGGTTAAGCATCTGCCTTCGGCTCAGGTCATGATCCCGGAGTCCTGGGATCAAGCCACACGTCTGGCTCCCTGCTCAGCGGGGAGTCTGCTTCTCCCTCTCCCTCTGCCCCTCTCTGCCCCCCTGCTCATGCTCTCTTTCTCTCTGTCTCTCCCCACCCTGCCACATACACACACACTCTCAAATAAATAAATAAAATCTCTTAAAAAAAGAAAAGAAGCATCACCCTGGGGAGTAGAGAAGTATAGGCCTAAGGCAGAGAAACGTCTGGTTCTAGGTCCCCCAAATCCTCTCTGTGCTGCCCTTAGCTGGAGAGCACAGGAAGCCATCATCAATGGTTTGGGATTAAAGTGCCCTGACACCCAGAACCTGACTACATCCAACCAAATGGAAGAAATAATCTGGCAGAGTTTTGTCTCCAAGTCAGCTTTTGCCTAAGTAACTAGAAGATTAAATCCAACTGCCTCTTCTTTCTCAACTGCCAGTAGAGTGGCCATTTTTGAGTAGCTTTCTGATAGCCACCTTTCTTAGTTGACAGCCTAACCTAGTTCTTCCTGTACGCAAGATGTTTTCTTCCCTCTCAGAATCTTCTGCTACTTTGACTTGTGTTTATCTAAACTAAGAGCTAAAATAGTCTGGGCAGTTGGTAATGACTCAAAGCTGGTGCCACTCCAGTTGAGAAGGAGAACACAGTGGCTAGCAATGAAGCCTGTGAGCCAGCTGGCAGGTTCACCCCCTTAGAGCAGGGCTTGAGTCCTCTTCTGTGAAAGATGGGCGTTTGGGTGCCTGGGTCTTAGTTTCAAGCTCATAGGGTAAGCCCTGACTACCAAGGGTCGTGCAATTTCTCTAGCTTGTGGTCTGTATGGAAAGAGATTGGACTTTGAGTCAGGCTCATTTGACCAGCTCTTCCATTTACAAGTTGTATAATTTGATATCTATATTATATATATATAATATAACCAACCACTCGGAGCCTTAGTTTTCCTGCCTATGAAATGGTTAATGCTTGTCTCCTAGGGTAAGGATTTAAAGACCTGATTTAATTTTAATTTTTTTTTTAAGATTTTATTTATTTATTTAATTGACAGAGAGAGAGAGAGACAGCGAGAGAGGGAACACAAGCAGGGGGAGGGTCAGAGGGAGAAGCAGGCTTCCCGCCGAGCAAGGAGCCCGATGTGGGGCTCGATCCCAGGACCCTGAGATCATGACCTGAGCTGAAGGCTGTCGCTTAACCAACTGAGCCACCCAGGCGCCCCCAAAGACCTGATTTAATTTTTAAAATGCTGCTTAAAAACCTGGCACATACCATGTGCTACATAAGCATCAATTCCTTATCTCAGTCTAGGGTCCCACAGTCTCTGTTGCCTGTGCCATTGATAGGAGAGGACGATATTCTGTCCTTTTTCTACTACATCATCCTGGCTGCCCAATGTCCTCAAAAATTAAGTATTGTAAGACTTTTCTGCATCTTATTTTTAAGTGCTCTCTGTAACGGGTGCTATCTATTTAATCTGCTATCTGACCTCCATGGATTAAAGTTGAGTGCTTATATGGGGAAGAAGATATGGTCAGTCCTTGTAACTATACCTATTTATACCTCCAACTCTCTGCTAGCAGCCCCAAAATGCCTGAGTTTTGGGACAAGGAAAAGTGGTCGTGTTGATTTAAAAATAATTCAGCACTGGAGCCATCTCTGCAAGGTGGAAAAACTTGTAGACTAGCCCCTAATTAGCTCCCAGCTATATACATGGATGCCTCTGTGGTCAATGGTGTTGATGGCTATCGCATCTTTGTTGACAAATACGCTTTAAAAAGTTCAGTGTGTGCCCAGTCTATGGCCTACAGTTTCAAAGTTCTCAGTTAGTCCGTGGTTTCTTGTTACCTCTTCCAGGAATTGTTTTCCAGATGTCTTCTTCCTTATGACAAGCTCTGAAAGTCTGGGCCTATAAGGAGCAGACAAATGTCTGGTCTTTACTGTCTCCCATTCCACTGGGTTTTAGAAAAGATAATGAATTGGGGTCTCTTGTGTTGATTCTTTGCAATCTCCCTAACACCAGTTTTTCAAACCCCTTCTCTGAAAGTGAAGCCAGATGGAGCTCCAGGCTCAGCAATTGGCTTTGCATAGAGGCCAGAGGGGACTTGAAAGCTGTCCTCAGTCCTACTCCCATTTGAAGCCTGTTTGAGGCTTTGTTCCTTTGCCCAAGGAATAGACTGGAAAAGGAACAAAGCCTCAAAACTGGCCACTCCTATCTGCCACCACTGTTTGAGAATCCTGCTGATTGACTAGGCTCACAAAAGAAATATGAAGTTCTGGGCATGTCAATCCTAGAACTCTGATTGTTAGAAGGACAGGAATTGGGAAGAGAAAGACAGAATAATTAATTCTTTTATTAAGAAATGTCAATGGGCGGGCGCCTGGGTGGCTCAGTCGTTAAGCGTCTGCCTTCGGCTCAGGTCATGATCCCAGGGTCCTGGGATCGAGTCCCACATCGGGCTCCCTGCTCCGCGGGAAGCCTGCTTCTCCCTCTCCCACTCCCCCTGCTTGTGTTCCTGCTCTCACTGTGTCTCTCTGTCAAATAAATAAATAAAATCTTTAAAAAAAAAAAAAGAAATGTCAATGGGCTGTGGCAGGTTTACCACACTGCAGCAGTGATGAGCTAGGCATGCGTTGTGAATTTGAAAGCAGAGTGTGAATCTTAGAGTTTAACAAATATTACCCTGAAAAAAATTCCAAAATCAAATAGTTTAGGTCTTGAACCATGGACTTCCTTGGAAATTCATATCAGTTCAATTCTGTTAAACCAGTAGGTCTCAACTGCAGAAGGTTTTGCTCCTCAGGGAACATTTTGCAATATCTGGAGACACTTTTGGTTGTCACAACTTGGGGAAGGTTACTTATACTGACATCTAGTATGGAGAGGCCAGGGATTCCTACACGCATGGGACAGCTCCTTACAACAAATAACTTTTCAGTCAGTATTACAGAAACCCTGTGTTAAACATACATATATGAGGTTTACAAAATGAACAAAACTTGGCCTTATTTGAAGGAACTTATATTCAGGTTGCGGGGGATGGGAGAGGAAAGGGAAAATAGGTGGATACAGTAAGGAGACGTTGGTAATAGAAGAGAAAGGAACTGAGAAAGCTCCAAGGAGTTCTCTTTTTCAACTCTGCCTTGATCTGTCACCTACTGACTAAGCTAACCAAAGTACGAGGGAGAGATATGGTTAAGAAAGAAACAGAGCTGGGGTGCCTGGTTCACTTAGTCGGTGGCGCATGCAACTCTTGATCTCAGAATTGTAAGTTCGAGCTCCACGTTAGGTGTAGAGGTTACTTAAAAATAAAATTTAAAAAAAAAGTATTATTAAGAAAAGAGAGTTGTTCCTAAGATATAGGAAGGGGGAATAATTCCTTTGAGCCTCTTACTTTGGGGATATAGTAGAAACTATAAGAATTTTGAATCCAAGCAGACTTGGTATGACTCCAGCACAGCCTGAGTGGGTTGAGAAGGGTCAAAGGAAGGCTTTCTGGAAGAAGAGGTAATAACGAAATAGAATCTTCACGGAACAATAGAAGTTAGAACTTAGAAGAGCAGAAAGTTTTTTCTAAAGAGAAAGAACTGCAAAGACACTGAGACAAGATAGAATATGATACCTTGGGAACTGCAAGGAGTAATCTCTGAGTCCTGGTTTTCTCAACAGTAATACAAGATTAGTGAAAACAACCTGTCAGAGTGAAATACCATGTGATATCTGGAAAGTATCTAGTGCAATGCCTGGAACAAAGTGGCAGCTCAACAATTCCCCCAATCCCACCCATTTTGTTCCACCCATTCCCCTCAGGCTGCTTGTTTGGGACTTCTAATTACCAACCCGGACAGCTTAAATATTTACTGTAAACCGCTTTTTATATAAATTCGGAGCGGCAGACGACACAGCCTCCTTTGTAAAGAGCCCTTAGGAAGGATCTTAGAGGAATGAAGGAAAGGACTGGGGAGCAGGTGGGGGCTTGCTCTCCATTCAACATTTCTCCCTAGCTCACACCGGAGGAAGGTGCCCCACTTCAGAGGAGAAAGACAGATGACCAGGAGCAGCTCTGAAGGGCGCCAGCAATATCAGCGAAGTGAAAACTCCTCACCCGACCCCTCAACCCACCATCTCCTAGCCAAGCCCTCACTCCGGGCGGGAGGAGTTCTCAGAGAGCGGGTCCCTGGTTTCCTGCGATGTTCCTGGCTACCCGGCGTTGCCACGCCTCCCCTGCGACTGACACGGGACTTGGGGCTTAATGCGAGAGGTGGGATAGAGGTCCGTGTAATGGGGAAAGGGAGACTGCAGTGGAGCAAGAGGCGGAGACTAGAGCTCCCCAAAAAGGTCGCTATTTGGGAGGGGGTGAGTGCTGAGTGAGAAGCAAAAAGATAACCCGCCAGAACTCAAGGCCCAGAATTCGGGAGGTGGAGCCCGGAGCCTACCCCGGAGCCTAAGACTACCAGCAACGCCGCAGGACTTAAAAAAAAAAGGGGGGGGGAAATCCCGTGAATGAGCCCTGCCCCCCCTCCTCCTCCAAGTCCCGCTTCTAGCCGTCGAACAACCAATTGCGCTGCGGGGCGGGGCTGCGGGGCGCGACCGCAGCCAATAGCTGTGGAGGGGGCGGGGCCTGGCTCCCGGCGCGCGGTGGCCGGGTCGCTCCGGGCAGAGAGCGCGGAGCCGCTGAGGGGAGCCGGTGAGTAGGGCCGCATGGAGGACCCCGCGGCGGCCGGGGCCGGGAGCTCGTCCACCAATAGCAACGGCAACGGCGGCGGCAAAGGGAAGCAGGCGGCGCCCAAGGGCCGGGAAGCGTTCAGAAGCCAGCGGCGGGAGTCGGAGGTGAGGAACCCGGAGAGCTTCAGTTGGGGCCGGGAGACGCCAGCGGGCGGGAAGCGGTGGCTGAGGTGATTCGGCCTGGTCCCTCTCCCCTTCCGGAGCCCCCGGTGCGCTTGGGGTCGCCCCTTGGAGCGGGCGCCTGCGGGGTCCGCCGCAGCCTGGACTCTGGGCTTTGCAGCCCCGATCCCTCTTTGCCAGTCTCGTGCCGCGGGTCAGGGGCTTCTTCGCCTTCTGGCCTCTCCTCTGGGGGCGCGAAGATGTAGCGTGATATCGAGCATACCTGATACTTTTCAAATATGTATCTCACTTAATCTCTGCAGCCCCTTGAAGTGGAGATTCGTGTTTTAGATTTACGGGGGAAACGGGCGCGGAGAGGTTAAGTGACTGGCCTGAGGGATGGGGGGGTTGCCGAGCTCCGCCGCAGTGGATAGAGGCGGGCGTGTGGGCAGCCGCCCCCCCAGCCCCGGGCTAGCGATCGGATCCAGATGTGCCCAGTGACTTCTGCTCTTCCCCTTCCCCCCGAGTGTTGTTGGCAGGCTCTTTAGGGAGTGCCTTCCACGACCTCAGGACCCCTACCAGTAAGAGTTAATGAGACAGGATTCAGGCAGGGGCTGTACAGGAGGGAGTGGATGGAACTGTCCGGGATACAAACCCACAGATAGGAATATGAATGTTTGGGTCACTTCTTCTGAAAAGAAATGCTAACTAGGAGGATGAAAGGAGTGAATTATTAGTCCCCTGCTCCCTCATCCAGCCAGTTTCCATCAACTAGCCAAGAGTAGAATTGGATGTGAGTGGGGATCAGGAGAATAGACCAGACGCACACACACAGAATAGACTACAAAATGTCAGATGTGGAAGGATCTGTAGAGATCATCTGTTTTAGCCCCTTGTTTTACAGAAGTAGGAGACAGAAGTAACTTGCCCAGGAGCATACATCTGGCATAGTGGCCAGGAGCACCAACCTTTGGGGTCAGTCAGACCTGGTTTTGAATCCTAACCCTAACATTTACTGTGTGACTTTTGGCAAATTGCCAAACCTCTCTGAGCTCATTTCTTCATCTGCAAAATGAGGTTAATACTACCTACCTCATAAGGTTGTGATAAAGCCAAGTGAGATAACTGAATGTCAAATGTTTAATTCAGTTCAGGCACAGGGCATGTAATTGGTCATGAGCTCACGGGGCCAGAGCTGGTACTAGAAGCCAGGTCTAACTTGTCCCAGCAATGGTTTACCATTTGAATAGTATATCACAGTTTCCAAAGGGATTTCATATATGTTTTCCATTTTGATACAGACAAGGAGGAATCCATCACATTTCCTAAAGAAGAGAAGTGGAGGAGATGAAAAGACTGGCCCAGAGTTACACCACCTTTCGGAGGCAGAAATAAGCCTTACTGTCTTGCTAGCTAGATCAGGGTTCTGTCCATATCATCTCCCTCCCTGCCTCACTGTGAATCTGGCCTTTTATTTTATTTTACTTATTTAAGATTCATTTATTTATTTTAGAGAGAGAGAGAATCCCCAAGCAGACTCCCTGCTGAGCATGGAGCCCCATGCAGGGCTCTTTCCCATAACACATGAGATCACCATTGGAGAGGAACCCAAGAGATGGATGCTCAACCCAGGCACCCCTGAATCTGGCATTTTAGGGCACCCTGTGCCTCATTCCCCCATAGAGACATTGTTCTTGCTTAAATGTATTTTGCGGGGGGGATTGGTGGGTCATTCATTGATTCAAAAATTATTGAGTCCTTCCTACAAGCCCAGCACTGTTTAGGTGTTAGGCATACAGTGGTGAACAAGATAAGGTCTTTGCTCTGTGGAGCAAACAAACATTCTAGTCAGGGTAGAGAGACAGATAATATGCAAGTAAATAAAATCATTGGTTTCAGAATGAAACCAATTTGGGGGAATTAAAACAATTAGAAGGGGTGCCTGGGTGGCTCAGATGGTTGAGCGGCTGCCTTCGGCTCGGGTTGTGATCTCCAGGTCCTGGGATCGAGCCCCATGTCGGGCTCCCAGCTCAGTTTGCGGCTTCTTCTCCCTCTCTTCTCCCTCTCCCTCTCCCCTTGCTTGTGCTCTCTCTGTCTCTCTCTCTCTCTCTAATGAATAAATAAAACCTTAAAAAAAAAAAAAAGGATGTAGGAGGCCTTTTCCCTGCCTATCAAGTCTTCCTTCAAGAAAAGGGCTCTGATAGTACTTTCCTTTTGCCTGTGAATTCAGTATCCAGAGACTCAGAGCTTTCCACCTGCCCCACAGTTTTACCTCCTGGTTGTCTGCAGCTGCACTTTTTATGCTTGGAAATGGACAACTGCAGTGATCCTCTCCATCTGGGCTTATTGCCTGCCAAAAGGCTGGCTGGAAAGATTAGCTTTCCTCCACCTTCCACTGCAGCAGGAAAGCTGCTTTTTACCTGTCAGTACATTCCCTATCACCACAACACTCAGGTGCCAGACGTAGATGACTATCTGCCTTTCCTTCCTTCCCTCCGTTTGCTTTCCTGTGGAAGACCGTCTTCAGAGGAGATGGTTTTGTTTTTGTCTTTCCCCCCACCTCTTGTGCTTCTAAAGGATTACTGGAAGAGAATTACTGTTGGCGCGATTCAAGAGAGCGTCCTCATCCATCATTGTGTTTGTAAGGGACACTGGTTGACCTACCCTCTCTGAATGGCTTAGTGTATGAACATCCCAAGGAAAATAGGAAGCTAGAGAATAATTATTTACTTAATAAGAAGATTCTTTTTTTTAAAGATTTATTTGAGAGAGAGAGAGCACATGCGTGGGCGAGCACAAACTGAGTGGCAGAGGGAGAAGGGCAGAGGCAGAGGGAGAGAGAGAATCCACAAGCAGACATCCCATTGAACCCAGAGCCTGACGCAGGGCTCCACATGGGGCTGGATCCCAGGACCCTGAGATCACTACCTGAGCCGAAACCAAGAGTTGGTGGTTTAACTGACTGAGCTACCCAAGCGCCCCTTAATAAGAAGATTCTTAACCAAATGATTCACCTCAGGCCTCTTTAGCCAGATCCCTTGGTTTAATTGGTTTCCAAAGTCCTTGACAAAGTTTTACTGGTTTGTGGCAAAATGAGGAAAATTTGGGGCATTAAAGTGAGTTTTTCATAAAATGTAGTTCAATACAATAAATTTAAAGGATGTATGCAATTTGGGGTGCCTGGCTGGCTCAGTTGGTAGAGCATGCAAACTCTTGATCTCTGGGTCATTAGTTCAAGTCCCATGTTGGGTTTAGAGCTTACTTAATAAATAAATAAAGGATTATGCAATTTATTATTTTTTTTTTACTAAACTTTTTACTTTAGAGTGATTTTAGGTTTACAGAGACGTTGCAGAGATGGTACAGAGGGCTCTTGTACCCCTTGCTCAGTTTCCCCTGATGCCAGCTCCTCAGGTTTCCACAGTGCCTTTGTCCAAACTATGGAAGCAACATTGGTCGTTTGACTGATGGAAGGCTGTGTCCCTCGGGCGTCCTTCTCAGGCCCCAGTTATTTTGAGCCTGCTGTGGGCTGTGAGAATTTCTCAGTGAGCCTCCTTCATTCAGGGTCTGTCTGACATAAGGTGAGATTCCAGCCTTTCAGGTAGAAGACCACAGAGGTGACTGTCCTTCTGGTCACATCATAGCAGGGAACATGTGACATCTGGTCACCGGGATGCTGGCTCTTGACCCTGCTGAAGGATGTATGCAATTTATTTATTTATTTATTTTTTTCTTGTTCTTTAATTGGATGCATGCAATTTAAAACAGTGTTTTTCAAACATAGGGGGTAATCTGTGAGTTGATACCAACATTTTTTTAAAGAAATAGAATAATAGAAAATATCTACATCACATATAGTGATAGTGATACTATTTTGTTAAACTTTGGTCCAGTTTTGTATGTGTGTGTTGGAGCATAATGTAAAGTTTATTTATTCTTTGATTTACAATCCAAAAACTTTGAAAAACATGCTGTTAATGACTCTTTTATTCTAATATTGTGTCCTCATTTTGGGAGTATTAAACTATCCTTTTTTGAAATATATATTTTAAAAAGATTTTTAAGTCTCTACTTATCAGAACTACCTAATGTCATTCCCACCCTCCACCTTTTTTTTTTTTTTTTTGGTCTCTGTAACCCGGAAGTATTTGGAAAGCTTTGCTATAGTGGATTTAAATATGATTTGCTTTGATGGCAGTGTAAATTGATAAAGTGGTTTTGGAAAATAACTTGTCATATGCAAAGAACCATACAAGTATTCATTCATAAGGTTTGATGCAATTCATTTCCTTTTCAAGAATCTATCCTTAGTTGAAAAAAAAGAATCTATCCTTAGGAAAGTTCCTAAATATGAAAAAATTATAAGTGTATCACAGCTTCATACATATAGTAAAAAAAAAAAATTTTTAAAACATCTTAAATGTTCAACAATAGTGAACTGGTTAAGAAAACCAGTTACCTGTCCACTTAGCTGTCCACTTAGCTGTTTAAAATGATAGTCATGATAATATGAGAATAATGCCTTTATAATATAATATTAAAATTTTAAGTACAGCAGGTAAAATTCAAAGTAGTATAACTGGGCGCCTGGGTGGCTAAGTCGGTTAAGCATCAGCCTTCAGCTCAGGTCATGATCGCAGGACCCTGGGATAAGTCCCACATCCGCCTCCCTGCTCAGCCAGGAGTCTGCTTCTCCCTCTTCCTCTACCCCTCCCCTCTGCTCCAGTGCTCTCTCTCTCTCTCTCAAATAAGTAAATAAAATCTAAAAAAAATAACAAAGTAGTGTAACCATCTACATAGTACTACCAAGTGTTGGGTAGTGTGCTAAATGCTTTTTCTCTATTAACTCATTGAGTCCTTATAATGACCCTATGAATTATCTTCATTTTACAGATAGGAAAACTGAGCACTTCGTTTTCCAATAATTCCCTGGCACCAATTCAGTTCTGACACTATCTGTAGTTAGCACAGACACCACAAGTTAAGGACTCAGTCTCATAAGATAGTCCCCATTTCAGATGCCAGCCACACCTGGGGCCCCCAGGCTACATGCACTTCTACCTGGCCAACTGTAAATTCAGAGGTTCCATGACCACCCCCACCCCTAACCCCGCCATCCCCAGATTCCATAATTTGCTACAGTGACTCACAGAATTTTAAAAAACTGTTCTGCTTATGATTACAATTTTGTTATAAAGGCTACAACTCAAGAATAGCCAAATGAAGAAAGGCAAAGAAGAAGGTATGGGAGTGAGATGGTGCAGAGATTCCACGCCCTCTAGGTTTCACCCTTCTAGCACTTTGGTGTACCCAAACCTAATTGTTTTAGGGCTTTTATGGAGTTTCATTACCTAGGCCTGGTTGATTAAACCATTGGCCACTGGTTGAACTCAATCATCAGCCTCCTTCCCTCTCTGGGTGTGGGGCCAGCCCTGAAACTCTTAAAGGCTCACCAGGAGTTACCTAATTAGCATAAACTCAAGTATTGTTGACTGGGGCTTATGAATTACACTTCTATCAGGAAATTCCAGAGGTTTTAGGAGCTCTGTGCCTGGAACGGGGTCAAAGACCAAATACATTTTTTATACCACACTGAGGCACAGACAGGTTAAGTGACTTGCTCAAGATCTCAATATGGGATAGCTGAGATTCAAAAATTTTTAAATTTATATATACTAATGTATGCTGGTAGGAAATAACTCTAAAATGCTTAAAGAGGTTAGGGGGTGGGATCACATTAAAATATTTTTATATAGTATTATAAATTTATACATACAACATCATAGGAAATCTATCTTTAAAACAACTTGGAGTAGGGGCGCTTGGGTGGCTTAGTCGTTAAAGCGTCTGCCTTCGGCTCAGGTCATGATCCCAGGGTCCTGGGATCGAGCCCCGCATGGGGCTCCCTGCTCAGTGGGAAGCCTGCTTCTCCCTCTCCCACTCCCCCTGCTTGTGTTCCCTCTCTCGCTGTTGCTCTGTCAAATAAATAAAATCTTAAAAAAAAAAAAAACAACCTGGAGTAGAAATACTACCTTATTTGACAATCCTAAAGTTGTCAACACTAGAGCTGAGGTACTTTTTTTTTTTAATAAATGAACTATGATCCAAAAAACGAGATTTGCCCAAAATCATACAGTGGGTTAATGACATAGCTGAAATTAGAATCCAGCTCACCTCTTTTGTTTTAGTTCATCTCATTGTTCTAGAAATCAGCTACATGCTCTTCTGGTCCATGTTTATGTAGGTCAGATACAGGCACAGATTGCATAGCTTTCATATCTGTTCACAATCCTAGCCCTTTACCCAGATTTTCTGATTTTATATAGGAACCTTCAGCCCTGCCCTGTACTGAGCCTTGGATTTTGGCTTGGAGGAAGGTACCTCTTGGATTAAAGGCCCAGATGGGACTCTCCTAGCTGCCTCCCTGATCTAACGTTGGCCTCTAAGAGAAGAAGAAGAGAGTATAATGAGTATTAAATGAGAGTATAATATCCTTTTTCATTCCTTTTCCCAAGTTACTGCAAGGACTTCTCCATTACAGGGCTCTGTGGACTGCCCCACTCTGGAATTTGAGTATGGAGATGCAGATGGGCACGCAGCAGAGTTGTCAGGTATGAGGTAGAGATGGTCTGTGGAGAGTGGAAGGATAGCCAGGAGGAGAGGGCAGGGGTCTGTGATCTCCCCTGGCAGCTTGTCTGTTCTCCACATTCCCTCTTCTCTCCAACCTCCAGCAGTAAATATGTTTGCTTTTACATTTCCTTCTGTGAATTCTCCTTTGGCTACAGTATTCTTCACTTTTATTCTATCACTCTTTTCTGCTCATCCTTTATTCTCTTTTGGTGCACTCTCAAATCTGTTTTCTTTCCACCTTTTCCCTATTCCTCCTGTTTCTTTTCCCATATTCACTCATATCTCTGCGTGCATGCCCCCTTCTTTCTGCCACCCTCTCCCTCTCTATCTCTGTCTGGGTTTTAGCTTAGGCTAAGTGTGATCTCCTCATACTAAGAGCCTCCATGTTACACGTGCTATGAATGCCAGTTATTAATAAACGGGCTTTGGGTGGCGATGGTGTGAAAATTAAATATTCTGTCACATGGAAGTGACACTTTGAGACATGCTTTTTCAGAGAAAAGAGACAAGAACTTTTAAAGAAGTTCTTGTGAATAAGCACAGGGAATAAATTTGTGATGAGTGACAAAGAGAGAGCTGAGTTTAATAACCAACAAAGGATTAGAATTCCAGATAATATATATTTCATATATGTGTGTGTGTGTGTGTGTGTGTGTGCGTGTGTAGAAAGAGAGAAAAGAGAAGAACAACCCAATAGACAAATAATCAAAGAATATGAATAGGAATTCAGAGAATAGAAAACCATATGGTCAATAAATATATGAAAAGATGTTCAACTACATTAGTAAATGAGGAAAAGCAAATTAAAATAATGAGGTATTATTTCACATTCATCGGATTGCAAAACTTAAAAGCCTGAAGTTGGTGAGGGTGCAGAGAAATGAGTACTTTTATACACTGCTTGGCATGAGGGAGCAGAATATAAAATTGGAAAGCAATTTGGTCATATCTAGCAAAGTTGAAGATGCACACATATTATGACACAGTGACTCTAGATGTATCCTTTAAAGAACATTTGGGCACAAGAAAACATGTATAAACATGTTTATTGTGGCCATTGTGAAAAATTTAAAACCACTTAGGGGAATGGATAAACTGTAGCATATCAGTATAGTAGGCTACCACATAGCCGTTAGAATAATTGATCTATATCAATATGTTTCCATATCAATAAATGTTAAAAACGTAGTGTTGAGAGTGAAAGAAGCAGTGACAAAATAATTTATACATGCATCCAAATACTGCTTAAACACACAAACCTAAAAGATATTTCTGGGAAGTCTAGTTGCACACTTGATTAAGAACAGTGTCAGTTAAGTAAATGGATGTGTTCAGTACACTGTCATGTAAAAAACTATTGAAAGACATACTAAGAATTGTTTCTACGAAAAATAATATATATAATATCCTGTTTGGATAAAAGCTTTCAAGCACAACAATGTCATGTTGTTTACAGGTATATACATATGCAGTAAAAGAAAAACGGGCATGTAAAGGATACACACCAATATCATTAAAATGGTTAAATCTTGAGAGGGGAATGAGACTGGGGAGGAAAAGGAAACTTTAGATGTCTGAAGTAAATATAACAAGTGTAAACGTTTGTTTAATCTGGGTAGAAGATACGCAGGTATCTTATGTATTCTATATCTGTCTATGAAAATTCATGATCTAAAATTTAAAAATAAAAACAAAAATATTTTAGTACCTAACAGCCTTGCTCCCTTTTCTCACTGGGTTCATGCTGTGCTCTTAAAAAACATACATGCACACTACCCACTGAGCACTGAAGAATATCAGAGTCAGAGATGGGATTTGCTTCTGGTCAATCCAGGATTCTGGAACTCAGGACTCAAAAGCCCTGGCTCCCAGACAAGGTGTTTCTCAACCATTAGACAGCTGGCTGGAACATAAGTGAATTTCTCTTTGTGAATTATCTATGACCTAGTTAAATTTCCAGCAAGGGTCTGTTACAGAGTTTTGAGGAAATCTGTTCTGTCACTTATTGACTTCTCAACTTCAATTCTTCATCCTCTGTAAGATGAGGGTACTTCCTGGTATAATGTTCTGGAGTGTGTGTGTGTGTGTAGGAAAGGCATTTTTATTTCTCATAAACTCTCTGCATTTTGTATTCAGAGGCTATTGTTAACAAAGTTAGATTTTCTTGGGCATAAGCAGCCCTTTGGCAACCATAGCTGCTTCTATGTTGTTTGATGCTATGTCTACCTGGGTGGCCATGGGCAGGAACCTAAACTTCTATACCCTTTGAGGAAACTCAGCAGGGAGAGAATGAACAGGCTCCAACCCCAAAGGGCCATCTAACACATACTCTCCAGCCTTTACTCTGGTTCCTTGAATAGCACAAGGATCTTGCCTCTAAATTAAGGCATTGTGTTGCCCCTCTCTTCCCTAGAGACAGGATAGTTTCAGTCTGTGTTGACAAGCAGAAGGGGTTGCAGCCCTAAGAAACAGGATTGATGACAGTAAGCCCTTTCTGCTTCCTCCCTCCTCCTGGCCCTGACCAGTGTTGAAGACTGCCTTCTCTGCTGTAGCAGCCAGCTGGCAGGAGGGGGACAGGTTTGATGGTTTAATCACCCAGGGACACAAGTGGCTATTTTTAACTGCTCTGAAAGGGAGGAAGCTGGCTCTGGATTGAACTGGACACAGGAATGTGTTGGAAGCTTTAGCTCTTTCATGCCACCCTCTCCACCCCAGGCCCCTTCTGTAAGGGTCTGCTGAATGTTTGTAACTCTGTCCTATCTTTCCTAACACAGAATTATATAGCTACACTGAAAACCTGGAATTCACCACTAACAGGAGGTGCTTTGAAGAAGATTTCAAGACTCAAGGTGATCCCAGATTCTTATTCATAGAGACCTGCTTTCCTCCCCCACACCCCATGATATCCCAGCCTGATCTAGAAAAAGCCCAAAACAAAGTATGATTCTTCTTCATCCTCTCCATAACCACTTCTCTATCCCTTCTTGCATATGGGACACAGAGTTTCCTATAGCTCAAGTGGAGAGGCCATGGAATGGAAGCAGGAGAAGGCTGAGCTCGGTCCCTTTCACTGATATAAAGGGCCCAGAGAGCAGAGGGATGGGAACTGGGCTGGTGCCCTGAGGCCTGATTGAACTCTGTTCCTAGTGTAGTCCTTGACTTTAACATTCAATCCCTGCCTCCAACTCTGCCTCACTCCTAATTGCATCTAATAATAATTCCATGTGTCCACACTGATCCTCTCAGACCTCCATCTCCTTACTTGGTCAGTGAATTCAGTTTGCAGCTCAGATGTGTGGTGAGAACTGTTTTGTGCGAGATGCAGGGAGCAGGGCTGAAAGTGAATTTGCAGAATCTTCAAAGAGATTATAGTCCAGTGGCAGAGGGGAGGTGTGTACATCACAAAACTTACTGAGGCCAAAAGGAAAGTGGTAAGTATCATAAGAGAAGTAAAAGGTATCTTGGGGGTACTGGAGGCAGGGTAGTATCTTGGGGGACAGAGGTTCTGGCTGGAGCATTAGTGGGAAAGAGGTAATTTAGTATTGGACCTGTAATGATGAATAGGAATTGCATATGTAGGGAGAGAGGGAACTCCTTGAAAAGGCAGAGAGATAGGACAGAACAGGCTCTGTGTGGAGAATAAAGGGGATATGGAGGAAGATGAGCTGCACAGTGGATTCAGCCAGAACTTTGGGGGTCCTTTATGTTTCCAATCTCTTATTCTTTCTCAGCTAAATAAAGAAAGCTTTTGAAGAGAAGAATTTGTTGGGGGCGGGGATCAGAGGTGGGTATGTTATCAGGAGCCTTTCCAAGAAGGGGAGGCAAAAGCTGACACTGGATCTGTATGGCCTTTTTTCCCCAGTGCAGGGCAAGGAGTGGCTGGAGTTGGAGGAAGATGCCCAGAAGGCCTATGTGATGGGACTCTTGGACCGACTGGAGGTGGTCAGTAGGGAACGGCGACTGAAGGTGGCCCGGGCTGTTCTGTACCTGGCCCAAGGCGAGTGGCCACCTTTGCCAGCTTGAGATGGGTGAAAACTAGGGAGAGAAATGGTGTTATGAGGACTAGGATGAGGCAAGCCATGCTAAGAAAGCAAGGTCCCTGCCTCTCAAGGAGAGATCTTGTCAAGTGCTAGGAGTAACCTGATGCTTATAAGGAAGTTAAGGAGATGGTGGTGGGTACTATCCTGGATCCCTTGGAATTGGCCTTTATCTTGCCAGGCATGGCAAGATTTCTTATAAAGTTCTTTTTTCCTTCATGTGGGCTATAATCATATGTGGAGTTTTAGTAAGAGAGTCAGTGTGGCTAGAGTTGATGTACCACCAGCTGAGTATGGAGGCTTCTTTCTTCAGCTATGGCACTGACCTCCACTGAGGGGAGGTAGTGTGGTGCCACAGATTCACACATGGACCTTCTGCGTTATTTCTCATTGGCATTTAGAGAATTCAAGCCAGCATAGCAGCAGGAGTGGATGCGGTGTGTAATTGGGATCAGAACTCAGTGAGATTAATTGAGAAAACCTTCCCAGAAGAGACCTATTAGCCAGGTGTTGGAAAGAGAAATGAGATAACCTAACTGGAATAGTAAAAATATGCCCTGAGATCATAATAAGAGGACTATTGGCAGAACCAGCTAGCTGGGAGCTAAAACAACAACAACAACAACAACAAACAAACAAAAAAACTATAAAAGAAAGTAATAAATGGATAGGAATGAGAGTGGTAAAGGGAAGACTACAGCAAACAAGGCAGTGCCTAACCATATCTCTCAGGTCTGGTGCTCTGGCCAACTTCCAACTGCTAGTACCTTTAACTTTTTACCTGAGGGCTTTCTCTGCAGTCCATATAGGGTAGCCAGGAAGTGCTAGGGAATTAATGTGCTCCCCTAGTCCAGTAGCACTGATCAATGAGTGACAGGAGTTAGTGGATGAATAGCCCAATTACCTCACCCTTCTTGGGTGGGATGATTCTGAGGGTGTAAAACATATACTGCTTCCCAGAGCTTCCCCCAACCTGGGTTCAGCTCCTTAGCTACCTTTTCTTCCCTATCTCACTTCCCCACTTCTCTACTAATGGTTCCTGGGATCATGTCCCAAATAAACTGCTTGTATTTGAATCCTTCTCTCTGGATCTGCTTCCCAGGGAACTCAAACTCAAGACAGGCCAGTAATAAGCACATTGGACCTGACTCTGGAGACTGTTTCTCCTCTTTCCTGCCTCATTCAAGGAAGTTCTGGAGGGCCCTTGCCGTACTTTGTCAGCCTAATTGTTGGGCAAGGTGTTGGAAGATAGACTTAAGATCATGGGGCAGGGTGGAAAGAACTGGATACCCCTCAACCCATACGACACTGTCTGGTTCTTTAGGCACTTTTGGGGAATGTGATTCAGAGGTCGATGTGCTACACTGGTCCAGGTACAACTGCTTCCTGCTCTATCAGATGGGGACCTTCTCAGCCTTCTTGGAGCTACTCCACATGGAAATCGAGTGAGAAACCTTAGGGGAGAGCCGGCCTAGACAACCCCCTTCCTTGAAGTGTGCCTCATGTCCTATGCTGATTCCCTCACTATAGAGACCTCTGTGGGAGCAGGGTCTATTCACACCTCAGCCCAAAGCTTACTGACACTTCCCTCTATCCAGCCACGCTCTCTGATAGTCTGTCCTCTTCCCTGAGGTTGGGCTCATCAACAGCTTTTGCCCCACTTAACAGCTTCAGTCCTGGGCTTCAGGGTCCTATCCTAGGTGGGTTCCCTTTATATCTAAACACCTTCTCAACTCAGCCTAACTCTGGAATCCATGAAGGAGACTGTTCTACCTGAGAATATGATCCAAGAGGGACAGGACCAACTTCTGTTGCCGTGCCCAATTTCTTTCCCTCATAGGTCATAGCTCTAGAGGTGGCCTTATCTGCTGCTACCACTATAGTGATCCATCATTTTATCTCATGCCTATTACCCAGGAGTTTAAAGAGGGGAGATTGAAAGGGTTCCTTAGGGGCGCCTGGGTGGCTCAGTTGTTAGGCGTCTGCTTCGGCTCAGCTCATGATCTCAGGGTCCTGGAATCGAGCCCCACATCGGGCTCCCTGCTCCGCGAGAAGCCTGCTTCTCCCTCTCCTGCTTCCCCTGCTTGTGTTCCCTCTCTTGCTGTCTCTCTCTGTGTGTCAAATAAATAAAATCTTTAAAAAAAGAAAAAAGGGTCGCTTAGCATCTATTTTGTGTTCAGCACAGTGCGAGGCACAGTGTGGATTATAAGTGGAGGGGTTATCAGAGATCCTGCCCTTGCCCATCTTCACCACAGATAAAGATTTACTGAGGTGGCAAAGGAATTCAACGGGCTCCTTTACCTTAGACCAATTTCTTTTAGCTACATAGCCAGGGAATAGCAGGTACTCACATTTATGTATATGATAAGTAGGAACACAGGGTGTAAAGAGGCCTTATGAGTTCCTGTTCTCTCCCTCCTCCCCATGGCAGCAACAGCCAGGCCTGTAGCAGTGCTCTTCGGAAACCAGCCATCTCCATTGCTGATAGCACAGAACTCAGGTAAGTTGAGCTGGCCCTGGGATTAGAACAAGGGATAGTTAACAAGGGGTTACCCTTGGCCCAAGTCTCAGATATACCCAGACTACTAGTAGTTGCTAATTCCACTGGGTCGGGCTCCCACAGAGATCATCCCCAAGGTCTCTGACTATAGGCTTGGAAGCTGCTTTGGGAACCTCTTGTAACCCTTCTATAACCCCAGGGTGCTGCTGAGTGTCATGTACCTATTGGTGGAAAATATCCGCCTGGAGCGAGAGACAGACTCCTGCCGGTGGAGGACAGCACGGGAGACCTTCCGCACTGAATTGAGTAAGAAGTGGCATTTGAGGAAGGGTAGGGATCAGATGCTGATCGTGGAGGGGAAGCATAGCTTCTGTGTATCTGCAGAGAAGAGACAAATAGCTTTTCCTTCCTTCCTTCCTTTCTCCCTCCCTCCCTCCTTTTCCTTCCTTCCTCCCTTCCTCTTTCCAAATTAGCATCCATTCTTTTAGGGCAAAGATACTGCGTGGTAGGCGTGAGGACCTGGCTTAACTTCCCTTGTGTCTATGAGTTAGTACCAATCATGTGTCATTTCTGTGCCTTGATTTCCTTGGTTATAAAATGGAAATAGCCATCCATCTCCCATTTCATCATCAATCTCACATGAAAAACTGAGTTGAATCGCCTTGAAAATATTGATGTTGTCATCACACAGGGATAAGATATGAAGGCCTATGGAATTTTTAAAATATATTAGACTGATGTGGGAAAGTGAGTTGTGATCTATGAAATGCATTGAGTCCTTCGGCCAGAAAGGAACATCTTTATTACTATTACTTCTAGTTTGGTATCCACCCTCAAGCTTGGGAGCTAAGCCATTTTACCTCCATGGCCTTCCTCCTGTTCCTTCCCTCTGGGGATTCTCTAAGCCTCCTTCTAAGGAACAGTACTCAAAATCTTGGAGGAGGTAAGAGCCTACCTCACTGCATCCAGAAGCAGGGTTAAAGGGGCAGGGTTTCAGCACTCTCATCCTCACTTTCTCACTTCTCTCTCTCCTCTTCCCCAGGCTTCTCCGTGCATAATGAGGAACCTTTTGCCCTTTTGCTTTTCTCCATGGTTACCAAATTCTGCAGCGGCCTGGCTCCCCACTTCCCCATAAAGAAGGTCCTGCTTTTGCTCTGGAAGGTGGTCATGGTAAGTGGCTGATCCACCCCCTCCTCCCCACGCCCATCTCATGCCACCTCACTTTCTTCTAGTCTGATTCCAGGAGACTGGAGCTAGGCAGAAGAATAGGGAGGGCAGCTGTTAGCCAATGGAGAGAAATCATATGTTCTGTGTCACAGCAGGTTACCTATTTCTATTGGACTGACGGGAGATGTCACTCTATGAGTTAGGGTGTCATTGCACCTTCCCATGATAGAGCTGACATTTCATGGAAAGAATACTGGTTGGGAGATCTACCCTCCGCTGATACTGAGGAACCTCAGGCAACTGTCTCTGCCTCAATTTTTCTAGCTATAAAATGGGATTTACTGCCTGCCCTCCATCCAAATAAACAGAGGATTTGCTTTAAAAAATAATGAAGTCCTGGGGCACCTGGGTGGCTCAGTCAGTTAAGTGTCCGACTCTTTAATTTTGGCTCAGGTCATGAGCTCAGGGTCGTGGGATTGAGCCTTGCATTGGACTCTGCGCTCAGTGGGGTATCTGCTTCTCTCCCTCTTTCTCTCTCTCTCTCCTTCTGCCCCTCCCCCTGCTCACATTCTCTCTCTAAAATAAATAAATGAATCTTAAAAAAAAATGAAGTCCTTATAAGTGTATGGTTACAGCTTTGTTCCTAATTATTAAATCTGATCCTTCACCTCTGGCTCCCACCCCACAGGACTGCCTGAACAACATACCCTCCAGAGCAAGCTTCATAGGGGGGTAGGGTGGGAAGGTAGTTACCTTTTGACTGCAGAAGAAATTGAATGACTCGGGCTTTATAGCATCTGGTTGTACTCCTTAAAAGGGGACACAGTTTCCCTTTTTTTTTCTCCAGTGGAAGCCCCCAGAAGTCCCTTTCCTAATTCCTGGTGATGTTTCCAGCCCTGAGTCAGTAAATAATGCTTTATCCTGACCCCTGAGCTTCTAAGACTGGGGATAGTAACTACATTTGTCCCTTCCTGTTTTATTACTTCTTAATTAAGTAGGGAGTACAAGGGGACTGGAAAGTGTGGCTCTTCCTCTCCATTCACATTTCCCTGACCTTATTCCCTCTGACTTCCCTCTTTTCCTCTCCTCTGCCCCTTTCCTGTTTATACCGTAGTTTACCCTTGGTGGATTTGAGCATCTACAGGTTCTCAAGGTACAGAAGCGGGCAGAATTGGGGCTGCCTCCACTGGCTGAAGACAGTATCCAGGTGGTGAAGAGCATGCGTGCTGCCTCCCCGCCCTCTTACACCCTCGACCTGGGGGAGTCTCAGCTGGCACCACCACCCTCTAAGCTGCGAGGCCGCCGTGGTTCTCGAAGGGTACGAGCTAAAGCAGACAGTGGTGTTTTGATACTAGTAGGCCAAAAATTAAGATTCTGAGCTACTCTGGATGTGGTAGGAAAAGGTAGTAAATGACGAGGCTCATCCTACCTCTTATTGGCCTTGTGACCAACCTGAAACCTTGGAGTCTGTACTTTGGCCGCTGTCTTCCAACTCCAGAAGGCTCCCAGGCTATCATGATGTAACACTGTTCATATTACATCACAGATCCATATCTTGCTACAGGATCATTGGCCCAGACCTGGTATGCCTGGAGTTATCCTGGCCAAGAGTTAGGGCATAATCCTGGAAATAGGGACCCAGATCACCTGAACAGGGCTCCCAGCAAATCCACATGCATGGGGTAAGGCGCTTTATCATTTTATTGATAGCAAGGTTTACTCTGAGCCAGCCATGCTCTTGTCTGGCCCTGGAACCAGAGGTTTACATTTAGGAGGTGATTGATTAGTGTTCTAGGTATAATCTGCATCCCTGGAAAGGTCAGAATGACAGGTTGCACTGAGACTTGACCATGTACCCATGAACTCACCTCCCTGAAATACCTGAGTTCACCAATTACAGGTGACAGGACCAGACAGTCATGTTCAGTAATCTAGTCTACATAATCTGCAATGTGATTTTTTTTAACCTTTATTTTTTGTTTTATAAAGTAATGCTTACTCATTGTACAAAATTTGGAGCAAATATAAAAATGTGAAGAAGGGAGGAAAAAAGAAAATCACCTACAAGCTTAATAAACCAGAGGCAGTCACTGTTAACTTTTTGGCCTATTTCTGTCCAATCTTTTTTTTTTTTTGACAAGATTTAAAATTCCAAACTTGCTTCCCTCTGCCTAGCAGCAAGCCTCTGTCCTCCTCTTCCTCAGTCAGCCAGCTGGTGTAAGCTCACAGAAGGCAAACTAATTGAATGTTCACCTAAGCAGAGCATAATAAGGAAGGAAAGTGCTGGCAAAAATAAAATAAAATAAAATAAAAAAATGCTCTCTGAAAGCTAAGTAACTGACTTTGGGATTATGTATGCTTTGTTCCCCAGCCATAGGCTTGGTTGCCTGAGAGGTGCTTGTCCTGGCATTGGGCCTGGTGGATATACTAGGGTTAAGGTGGGGTAGGGGATATTCTTATAAGAGCTGGGTTGTTACTCCATGTATCCTAAAGTCTAGTAGCTTATGGGTAGAGGGTGACCTCAGACAAGGATGCTCAGAGTGAGATCTCTGTACACCTTCTCTCCACCCTCCCAACCCCCACCCAGCAACTCCTCACTAAGCAGGACAGCCTGGACATCTACAATGAAAGAGATCTCTTTAAGACTGAGGAACCAGCCACAGAGGAGGAAGAGGAGTCTGCTGGTGATGGAGAACGAACCTTGGATGGAGAATTAGACCTGCTAGAGCAAGACCCTCTGGTGCCACCTCCACCCTCACAGGCATCCCTTTCTGCTGAGCGGGTGGCCTTTCCCAAGGGCCTACCCTGGGCCCCAAAGGTCAGGTAGGTTTGATAACTCCGGGGACCCTGAATTTTGGGATTAGAATCACTGAAGGCCCACGATGCAGTGGTCTACGTGTTCAAGTCTCAGTAAGCTGGGCTAGAAGTTGAAACTCCTGGGTTTGAAGTTTCCTCTGTTAGCTGTTATCTTTCCCCACTGCTCTAATCCTCCAATCAAAGGGTTAGGAGTCCAGAAAGGTTCTGTCTCTCAAGGTTTGCCTTTTTTTTTTCCTTTTCTGGGAATTGTCTCTCTACTGTCCTCTCAGACAGAAGGACATTGAGCACTTCTTGGAGATGAGCAGGAACAAATTCATCGGATTCACTCTGGGGCAGTAAGTGACTAGATGGTCAGAACTGGCTATACAGTCGTTCTTAGGGGGCCAGAGGAGTGGGTGGCTGGAATGAGAGATGTTGCCTGGTAGTTATGGTGTAACGTAGAGCCACTATGGGCCATCTGCTAGTGACTCTGGGCTGGTGCCATGGAATTTTTTTCCTTCCAGTTTCCTAGAGGAACTCTTATGTTCTTAGCCAGGTGTAGGACCTTGAGTGACAAGTCATTTCCCTCTTGGGCTTCAATTTCTTCAGGAGAGTGATGGATTAGATGGTCCCTAGGGGTCCTTCCTGTTTTAATAAGCCAGAATTTTGTGAAGAAGCAACATGGTCAGAACAGATCCAGTCTTCCCCCATATCTCCTCCTTCATGAATCCCTCACACTGGCTGGCCTCTACAAAATGGAGAAGGCCTTGTTCCCATGTTTCACTGTAGTTGGGCTACATGCCCTTTTAAGGAACCTACCACACCCTGACAAAGTAAATCCCCAAAAGACTATACAAAAATCCTAATTTTCAGGAACACTTCTGTGTGGCATTGTTCTTTTTGTGTCCTGAAGCAATAATGGGGGACATGGAAGCTTGCAGAGAAAAATCCAGAATACTGCATGTTGAAAGTGGCATGGTCCATGTAACTCCAGGGGATATCAGTAGTTCTCTATAGTTTTTTTAAATTTAAATTCAATTAGTTAACATATAATATATTATTAGTTTTAGAGATAGAGGCCAGTGATTAATCAGTAGTTCTCTATAGTTTTGATGCTTATGATCTGGTGTATCTCTCATTTCACAGGGACACAGATACCTTGGTTGGATTACCCAGGCCCATCCACGAGAGTGTGAAGACTCTAAAGCAGGTGACCAGGGCAGGCTCTCAGTCTTCAGGGATAGGGAGCCATCATTCAAGTTTGATGACCAAAGTCCTGGTTATTGGCTCTTCTACCAGACACATTCTGTATTTCCCCGGCAGACATTTTGGCCAAAGAGGAAGAAATTAGGTCTCTCCTTATTTAACCATTTTCCTACATTCAGATAGATGAAAAAGTTATCCTTTCTTCCTCTCATGCCTTTTTCCTTCTCCCACCCTTCTTTCTCTCTTCCTCCTCCTCGCTTCTTTTCCTCTCACTTCTTTCTCCCTATAAGGCCACTAACTTCCAAAGGCCCAGGATTAGTAGCAGTCTTCTCTGCATCCAAAGTATATACGAGCACAAAGAGTAAAAATAGTCATCTCTTGCACAGACCCTGAACTCTCCCTCACCCCATCATCACTCCATACACATGCACACAAGCATACTCACACGCAGCAAAACTCTCAGGGTAGTGGTCCAGGGACACGGGCCTGTTCTTCACTTCCCCTTGCCCTTTGGTTGAAGGTAAATACTTAACTATTTCTGCTCTTCAACAAATATGGGAACATAGAATAAATAGAAACACTGTATATGAAGCACTGGGCTCAATGTTAAGGGTACAAGGGTAAATAAGACTCCTACCTTCGAAGAGTTCATGTTCTGTTTGGGGTGACAACCCATATACAGGACATTTCCTTATCATTAAGGAAGATAAGCAAGAGGCTGGTACATATGTGGTTGGGGCCCTCAGTATCTTTTTCTTTTTTTTAAGTAATCTCTACACCCAACATGGGGTTCAGACTCACAACCCCAAGATCAAGAGTCATACATTCTTCAGACTGAGCCATCTAGGTGCCCTCCCTTTTTTTTTAATTAAAAAAAAAATTTTTTTAGTAACCTCAGCCTCTTAACTGATATCTTTTCTTCCCCAGCACAAGTACATCTCCATTGCAGATGTTCAGATCAAGAATGAAGAGGATCTGGAGAAGTGCCCCATGTCTTTGGTGAGTCAAGGGGCTCCTGCCCAGGAGAAAGGCAGGAGGAAATCTATCTTCAGTGCTGTCACAGAGCATATGTGCATGCTGTTGGGCTCTTATGATGTGCCAAGCAAGGCAAGGTCCCTACTTTCATGATACATTAGAGTGAGAGAAAAAAGAAAATAAGTAATTACAGAAACAAGAAGACTATTGAGAATGGGAGATACAATGAAGAAAATTTAAATAGGATGACATGATAGAGGCATCTATCATGTAGGAGACTACTGCCAATTAGGCAGCCAGGATAAGTGGACCTCTGAGAAGGTGAGGGTTAAGCTAAAATGTGAGGTACAAGAAGGAGCTGGCCATAGGAATATTGGGGGAAAGAGAATTCTAGGCAGAGGGAATAGCTTTAACAAGGGTGAGAGCAAGCTTGGAGTAGTAGGGGTAGTGAATGAAGGCCTGTGGCTGGAACACAGGGGTGAGGGTTGGGGTTGTATGAGATGGAGTCAGGGAGGTGGCCTGGGGCCACTTTACAAAGGACGTGTAAGCAAAGATAGGGATTGTGAAGTTGTCTCACAATACAGAAGTAAGCCCTTGGAGATTTTAAGCAGGGGAGTGACATGATCTGATTTATATTTTCAAAAGCCACTGGCTGCTGTGTAAAGACTTTACCAGAAAAGAGTAGAAGCAGGGTGAAACATGGGGAGTTCTGTTTCATCAAGAGTTCTATTTTGGTCATACTCAGTTTTAGATATCCATTAGGCAGCCATGCACGTGAGCAGCCATGCAACTGAATATATGTCTAGAGTTCTAAGAGAGGACTGGCCTAGAGAAATAAATTTGGGAGCTGTTGGCTTAGTGGACAGTGTTAAAAGCCATAGAACTGGCTGAGATAACCCAGGGAGGGAATAGAGATAGAGGATGGGACCCCGGACAAAGCCTTGGGGCACACCAGTTATGTTGAGGGTAGGATGAATCAGGAAAGGAGCCAGAAAAGAAGAGTAAGAGAAACACTCAGTGAGGTGGGAGAGAATGTGGGAGATTATGATACTATTAAAGCTACGAAAAATTTTTTCAAGAAGGGAGTGATCAGCTGTGTCAAGTGCTGCTGATAAATGGATAAAACCTGAGGTGCCCATTGGATCAGGCAACATGAAAATAACTGGTGACCTTGATAAGAGCAACCTCAAGTGAAGAGGTGGGGCTAGTAGCCTAGTTGGAGTGTGTTGAAAGAGGAATGTAAAGAAAGGAGGTAGATGGTCAACACAGACAGCATAGTTTTATTGTAGAGAGGATAGAAATGGCATGGTGGCTGAAGGAGGATGTGGGGTCAGAGGAAAGTGTTTTATAGCTAGGAGACACTAGAGGCCCCCTCTATCGGGGGCCCTCCTTCTAAGTAAGTACCCTAGTGCCTCTGAGGCCATGGTCTGTCATGGCCTAGATAGCCTCAGTCTGAGTGGTGAAGATGCTGATGGTCAGGGTTAGAGGAAGGAAAGGGGTAGAGAAGGTGACATCATGCTTATATCTCTCACCTTATTTCTAGGCATTGCCCCTCCCTATTCCTTCCATTATCTTCTTTAGAAATAACAGTATTGAATGTTGGGATGGTGGCTGAAGGAGGATGTGGGGTCAGAGGACAGTGTTTTATAGCTAGGAGACACTAGA